GAAGACTGAAGTAGATCAATAAAGAAACATGAATAGACAAACATTTTCCCAGTTTTCCACTTCCTCAAATATCCTCTGAGTTTTGCTTGATCTTTTTGCTTAACAGAGTTATCACAACTTAACGACTCTACGTGTTGCATGTAAATACCAAACTTATCTACAAGTAACTTTAATGCACGCACTTTATGTAGGATCCATCTTGTACCACTAGCTCTTTTAGGCTTTAAAGAACCCTCTACAAATTCCAGACATTGTCTGTACGAATTGTAGAGTTCCTCCAATCCTCTCATCTTCTTTGGGCTTTTCTCGTACAGGTAATACAAACGTAAAAGGCATTCGTCTACCTCTTTGAAGTATGTCCCGTTTAAACCGTCCTTCAAAGCAAGCTCCAATCGGTGGGCAACACACCATACAAAAACAAACCAGGGAAATTCTTTCTTTAGCAAGGCAATCACTCCACCTTTTTCTCCACGGTTAGTGTTGCAACCATCACCTCCTAATCCAATTGGACTTGGTGGTGGCATACCAACATCAGAGTGTCCTATAGAGATTCCAGTGCAGATTTTATTCCACCTACTACCCCCTCAGCGGTGGAACTTGTCAGGTTCTCCACGGAAAGAAATCCCATCTGTACTTTTACCTTTGGCTCTTGGCCATCATTGGCTGAGGCATCATCTAAGTCGGGATCAGGATCAAAGTAGATGGCAAATACAGCTTCCTGTTCAACAACTGCACAGTCGGTTGTTCCATCAAATATGACACTGAAAAATTTTGCATTTGCAATGTCCTTTGAAAGTTGACTTTTCAGTTGGTCTGATTGGTACGAAATAAAATTGGTTGCTGCAGTTCGGTTGCTATAGGAGGAACCATGCAAAACACCATGCCTTTTTTCCAATTCTATTATTTTCTCATATTTCGTCAATGGAAGTTCTTCTTTGACCACAAAATACGAAATGTCGAACTTCCTTTTCATTTCTTCTTGTTGCTGTGGGTCAAGTTTGAAGTTCAGTGTGGGTTGGTTTTTTTCTTTATTGATTGGTGTTGCCGGTTTCCCACACTTTCGCCTAAATAGATTGAGGGCTATCTTGTGTATTTCAGAATTAGCATGATCAATCACGCTGGTTACCTTGAAATTGGTGGAACCATCAATAAATGTTCGGCTAAAGTTATGACGTTTATTGATGGATGTTTCAAACTCAGAACAAACTTTACACTTCAGAGAAGTGCAATACTTTTCTCTCAATAAATTCTTCATCATAAGTTAGCCAGACATTGGCTTCATAGGTTGCAAGATCATTAGATTTCCACCTTTCTGCCGTTTCTGATCTCAGCATTCTAGTGTTCTTCTTGGCAGTATAGTCTGTTTGTCGCTTTCTTTCTGGAAATTCTAAACCTGGTAACTCACTGCTCTTGCGCTTACTACCTTGTCCTTGAAAGAAATCTGTGATTTTAACACCCTGCGTTTTTTTTGATTCTTTAGTTTCCTTATTTACTTGTTCAGATTTCAGCAACGGTATAAAGTGATTTGGTTCATACCACCGCCCGGATGTAGCATCAAAATTTCCGTCTCTAGACCACATAATATAAACTGTGCTCTCTTGCGCTTGAATATGTTCTGCAACTCGTGGCTGTATTGTTCCGTGGAGCAATTTTCGGAACACTAACGGAACATTAGGGTACACTGAAAATATTGGCCTGGCAATAACACTGGCAAGTGCCATCAATTCTTTCGTTTTGGAAGCAACTCCTGCCCATTCTTTCGTTTTGGAAGCAACTCGAGCCTCTGCTTGGATTGCTTTTGTACGATTTTTTGAAATATCCCAAATGCCTATTCCTAATGTTGACAAGCAAATCGTAAACATGGTTGCTTTAAAAAAACCACTGTCGTATGAGACGTGTAGTCTTGGGTGTTCTGCGTAAAATTCAGTGTTCATTGACAGTTCGAGTGCTGTTAACAGACGGAGGTGACAGGAAATAGAGTCATTTCCCACTAACAAACGAGAGACTGAGTTAAACAGACAGTTACCATTTGCGGTTGACTTGTAGGCAATAAATGTATCAGAAGATTGTGAAATATCATCAGGAATAAGCGCTTGTCCAAACTGGTCAACCTCTAAGTGACTTCCAGTTCCAATGCCTATATTTGTTTTCTTGATCCAACGAGAAATTGCTGAATATTTACTTTTGAGATTAGAGCAATGCGTTTCAACACCCTCACCTACTTGCAAAACGTTCTCTAGTTGCTTTAAATCGGATAGTACTTCTGCCTCAGGGATAATGTCCATCTTACTGTCATACTCTTTGTCTTTAAACATGACCAACGTTGAATTTGCATGATATATACGAATTATTAATTAAGAGAACTAGGCTTTATTATCAGATGCCCAATTTCGTGTTTTGAAATATTTTTAACACATCCCCCCGGGAGCGTTGATGTTTATATTAACTATTTAAAAAAACAATTATATATAATTCATCGAATATATTAGTTTATATACTTTAAATAAATCAAATAACTATATTTTTACGTTTGACGTTACAATACAGGTTTGCTATTTGCAGGAGTTCTATAAAGACTGATAAAGTGTGGACTATGGTGATACGTTTGCATCTTGCGTGCGCTTTATGATTGACAGTCTACTATATTATTACAGTAACATACTAAAATTTATTATTTACATGTTTTGTGGCAAGCTTAAGCGGAAATTTACATTTTCGTCGATGTGTTCATGTACATCTTGGGTTTTTCTACATTTTGATATAATTTTGGCGTCGTTTTGTCAATTATTTTGTAGTAAATCGTGGTTTTAGTATCTATATAGCAGCCCGTTGCGTATATATGTTGACAGCAGCCGAATTTTGTAGTTTGACTTTTGAGACAAGTCACGAGACAAGTATTTATAGCCATTCCGGCGCGTTAAGTAAAATCACGGTAAAATGCTAGAATGCCTCGTAAATTTTATTGCAAAATGCAAATTGAGTGAATTTGCAATCGGATTTTGTCACAGCAAAAATGTATAATGTGACAATACATGTATATTTTTTTTGATCGGACCAATGTCCGATCAAACTTACTTTTGCTCGGACATTTGCCAAATTTAGTCGGACATTGTCCGATGTCCGACAGTAATTTGCAGCCCTGGGACAGCCCGCATGCGGGTTTTTGAGAGAACCGGGGAGTGTGGTTTTGTGTTTAATAGGAAGAACTATATGTTTTAACATTAGTGATAATATTTACCATTTTTCTACTCAAAAAAAAGGAACGAAACAACAGGACAGGCTCACGAAAATTGTGAGTAACTGACTTATCATTTATAATCATTCAGTATAATCTTACACTTTATCAAGTAATTGTAAACGTATTTTTGTTATAGTAGACTTCTTCGTCTTTGTCACTTTGTGTCGTGTATTGACACATCGATAAGATATAAAGTACAAAAAGGAAAGTCCAAGTAAAGTAGCACTTCGAAACGAGAGTGCGAAACAAGCAGGTTTAATAATTGTACCAAACTATAGTCAAATTAACTGCAGAGTAAATGTACTTCGGCCCCTTCCTGGAGGTTTTCGTCCCTGGCCCTCACCAGACTGTTTTTTAAATGTTCTCCGTAGCTTGATTCTGCTTTTGTTATGATCAAAAGGCTAAAGGAAGTTTGTCGCTCGTGGATGTTCTCGCGCTTCAAGACCACACCAGCTGCAGACAAGAAAGTTGTATATGAAGAGTTCTTAGAACATCTTCGACCAGGCCTTAAAATATCTTTTCCAGGGCCGTCTGACAAAATGTCCGGTGACGTTGAGTTTGGGTCGGACATATGTCCGATGACCTTCAGTTCAGTTGTGACTCTGAAATAAGTCTGAATGACACAAATGAATAAACGGTAAATGTTGTAAAGATATTAAAT